AGTTGGCACCTTTCGTGAGCACTATAGTCACACAAAGAAAACATCTTTTCTAGAATTGAACTGCATGTCTGAGACTAGAATTTATTTTAAAAGATTGCGCAAAATAGAAGCCATAGTATAAATCTAATGCTGTATTCTAAGGACGACCTTTCTAAAACTTCTCTATAAGCAGTCATTGTTGCATAAAAATGTTGTACTGGCTATTTACAATAAATAGATCAATCTACCGACTCATTAACTCAAACATACAGACTTGCAAGAGGAGTGTCACAGTTTCCAATTCTTTGATTAAAGCCAATTAGGAGAGTTATTAGTTGCAAGTGTTAGCTAGCACCATACTTTTGGGGAATCATCAGGCTCAAGAATATTAAGCACTTCACAGGAAAGGGGATGGGGGGGGGCAAGCAAACCTCACAGGTAAGCCGCAGGCCAGGCCATAGGTTCCCTACCCCCAATTTAAAGAAAGGTTTTTAGGTCTTCTCATCTTGCATAAACAGGTTTGGGGGCATTTAGGTCATTCATCCGCAGGTCATTCATGATGCCCTCATGTGACGTAGTGGGGGTAACTTGCTAGGGCTGTGGGTGACCTCTGCTGTCTAACACGACCCAGCAGTACAGGGGATGAGTCATTATGCAAAGGGGGCTCCAAACCTGTCTGACCAGCTACCCCCCAAGGAGAGAATCAAAGGAAAATGGAATGCTGCCCTGGCTGGGGGGGGGGCAGGGCTGGAAGAGGGTTAGTTAGTTGCTGTCTGGGAGCATGGAGGAGACAGCCTAGGGAAGGAGCTGGGGAGTGGGCTGGGATTGTAGGGCCCAGCCACCCCCATCTCAAAGGGGGGGCACTGAGGCCTCTTAGCCGCAGTTCCTGTAACCAGATGACAGATGCTGTGCTGTATCCTGGAGAAGCAATAAACTCCCTCTGTTCTACTGGCTGGGGGGGGCTGTTCGTGCCATTTTGGGGGTGCAGGAGACGGGAAAACCCCACGTGCTGTCACACCTCACAACTGGAGAGAAGCACTGGAGCAGGACTAGCCAGGGACCAGCCTGAGGCATATGATGGTGGAGAGAAATAGGCTCCAGACTGCTGGAGAGTAGGGGACAAACTGGAGGTACTATCAGGGAGCCATGGGGGAGATAGAGGGGAAGGGCTCCCCCAGAACGGAAGCTGGTCCATGCCACCTCAGGGCAGAAATGGGGAAGGATGGGGGGAGCACTGGGCAGTATCGGGGCAGGTTCACAGACCTGCCATACGGGAAGACCGCATCAGGGTCCAGCAGCCCCAGAGCAGGAAAAGGCGGCTGAGTCAAGGCTGGAGAGAGGGAGGGACTATGGGGGGGAAGGAGGAGCATCAGAGCAACCTGGGGCTGTGCAGGCAACTCCAGCTAGGGGTCTATTTGAAACCATGGAAAGGTGGGCGGGAAGCCTGCCCACGTTCTAAAAGCCCCTCCTCAGCCTTACGGGAGGGACAACTGGAACCATGTCCAACTGATTCCAGGGGACAAATAATGACAAAAGGATCAAGGAGTGTGGGTCACAGGTTTAAAATAAGGGAACCAAATGGGGACACCGAGCAGAGAACCCCGGACAGCGCCCACTGCTCCTCAAAGCTGTCGATGGAGCCAGTGGATGCCGCCCAGAGGAACTCTGCCCAGATACGTGACATAAGGGAGGAACGGAAATGGGCCCCACAGTCGCAGAGAACCCCCTCGTCCCACAT